GCTCTCCCTCGTTTCAGATTTCCTATGGCTTTTTCAACTTCGTAAAGGGACGGAGGACCTACATTAACTTGCCATTCAGGTTGACTAGAGATCGTGGGAAACCGAAGTGTGGCTGAAGGCCAGTTGAACTGATCCCTAAAGTGTTCTGCCCATCGATCCAATCTCCTGGATTGAGAATGAATAATATGTCCATCTTTCTCTGAGATTGTTTCGCTAACGGTCGGGTTCCTAATTCCGGTTTCCTTAACGAGTCTGAACAATTGTCTGCTATTACCTATTGCCGCTGCCTTTTCCATCTCTCTTGCTTTCGCTACCCACCACTGTTCGCGATCATTGCGTAGACTTCTTGTCAGCTTGCGCTTAAGCTGACTCCGCTCTTCATTATGTTCAGAGCCAGGTGGAATGAGTTTCCGAGCATCTATCAGTGCGATAGATGCTGCTGAGATCCAGTGTTGCTCCCTAACCTTCTGGTTTACCTTACTAGCAGATATCACTGCTGTTTCCACAGCTTTTCGGATATCATTCCATGCTGCATCGGGGTGGGCATCACATACATGGCTGCCTAACTGTTTTCCTAGTTGTTCCTGAAATATACTCTTAGCTTGACTATCATTAAGTAGGCCCTAAGAGGTTTCCTTGCAGCGTCTTTCCTACGTCCAGTAAGACGCAAGCAAATACGCGCTCGCACTAGAGCATGATCTGAATCTAGGCATGTGCTCCAGAATGAGCGACAGTCTTCTATCGAGCCCCTCCATCGGTGGCTGATAGCGATGTGATCTATTTGGGTCCAACGTTGGGACGAATTAGGGGGTCGCCATGTTAAAAGATGTTTTTCCTTATGCTTAAAGTTAGTATTTGCAAGGAACAGGCGGTTATCTGAGCATAGCTGCAACAGACGGTCGCCATTATCTGTTCTTTGAGCCACGACACCATAAGATCCACCTAGGTGTCTTTCCCTATCGCTTAGTTTACCTACTTGAGCATTAAAGTCACCGGCCACTATTACTACATCCGAGCGCCTAGCTTTTCGGAGAAGGTCCGAAAGCTTTCTGTAAAACTCATCTTTTACATCATCTGAGCTGCAGTCAGTGGGAGAATAGGCAGAGACGACGAAGAGGCAACGACGAGTGTCCCTATCTTTCCGGATTCTTACTGTTCCGTTCAGTCGGACAGCGCACAAACGACTGTCTACTGGGATCCACTCTAAGAGAGCTAGTTCTGCCCTAGGACTCAATGCTATACCTACGCCGGCGAGGCCACGGGAAGCAGAATCAGGGCTTCCAGATACACGAAGCGTAAATCGAGTCGGTTCTTTATTTTGGCATGGTGAGGTCAAATGAATGACGCTACTTGGATCCTGTATGCGCGTTTCGGAGACGCAGCACACATCGATGGCGCGAGATTCTAAAGTTTTAGCTAAGGAAGCCTGCTGTCCTATTTGGCAAAGTGTTCGTACGTTAAAAGCTCCTACGTGTAGTTTAGAGCGTGGTTTCAGGAGACCAGGAATGGCGTTCCACGTACTCGAATCGTTTGCCCTAGCGGTGCGAGGTGATAAAGAGACGTGAGGAGGGTTAGTCATGGAGATAAGAGAGGTATTAGGAGGTGTAGGAAGGATTTGAATGTGACCACCTTGGTCTCTTGTGCTGTTACGGGTATGAGGGCTGATGTCACTTCCCGGCTGCCCACACCGTGGAAGGGTATTTCTTGAGGAACCTGAAAAGGAAATTGGATTAGTGTTGGTCTTGACGACCTGGGAGCGTGACCGCAGAGCCCAAGGGACAACTGCTTGAGGCCGGTCGCGCACGGCCTTTTTGTGGAAGGTTTTTGACGTGTTAGCTCCGTTCTTCAAAGGGCCTTACCGCCGGAGACGGAAATCCGTGAGGTAAGGTGAGGTGTGACATTTTTAGGGTCGACCTTTTCTAACCCCACCCCTCCTTGTGGGAAGGCAGCATCGCTGTCATGCTGGTTGTCCGAAGGAAACACCTTACTGCTGTCACACCCCTCTACAGTCAGCAGTACGACTTCGCCCTCAGACCTTGAGTTGCTGCTTTTAGTCTTACCGTTCACCAATCGACCTGCCTGGCATGGTAGAACCTACAGGAACATATGTTCCAGCCAATATAGCTCGGTTGGGTCATCACGATAGGCAAGCCCGACCACCGCGTCAAGGTAGCAGCTTCGATCGGGATATATATATATATATATATATATATATATATATATATATATATATATATACGTCAAAAAACAAGATCTCCTAGACTGGATTCCAATAAGCAGTCGTTTGTAGGCTGTCTGACTAAGTGAAGAAGTAAGAACATGGAAGGATGGGGACAAACGCTGTGGCCTTTTCGTCGTCCCTGTTTGCGCTCAAATTGACTGCAAGTCGGATAAATTGAAGGTTAAGTTTTACGGGAAACATTTTGCTCTTTCATACTAGCCAGGCGATTACTCAGTCTCCCTCATTCACAGACACTTTTTGGTCTGTCTATGCATAAATGTTATTTTTCATTTTATAGTGTGATGCGGTCTGGTCTGATTGTATATAAACTGCGTTTAGAACATGGGTACAGGGGAGACTGGTTGCTAACTTTTAGACTCAAAGAAAGGGCACAAAGAGAAGTTAGAAAACGGTGGACCAATAGGAACTTAGCTGCTGAATCAAGGTTAATAGTGCTGGTCGGACGTGTAATTTACTGTCAGAGGAGATACCAAGCTACCGAGTAATATTAGATGCGAATTAGAATCAGGATTCTGATCGGCGAATTGTCACATGATTTTGACCAGCAATCACAAGATATAATAAAAGCCTGTCGACCTATTTAACATAAGGCCTGAATGGTGAGAGCTCTAACATGTAGTTTGGAAGGCAATTTCAAGAGATCAGGAATAAGTTTCGTAGACTCGAATAGTTAGCATTGGTGGCACATGGAGATAAAGTCACGGGAGAAAGGCTAGTGGTGGGGATAGGAGTATCAAGAAGTGACGAAGGGATTTGATCGTGAACAAGAGGATCTTTAGTGCTGTTAGAGGTACGAGGGCAGTTGTCACTTCCAGGTTACCCAAACCGGAAAAGGATACTTCTTGACGGACCTGATTTATTTATTTATTTAAGCACATAAACAATGGTAAAAAAAACTTAGCACCACACAAACCATTTAATTTGTGTGAGGGCTGAGATACTGTCAGATGCTTAAACCGAAGCAGGTGGTTTTCTTAGTGAGCCCCACTCATCGAGCCTTTGACCTAGAGCACTAATCCAAAAGGCAATGGAACAACGTAAGGAGATGCAGCCCCAATGTAGCCAATGACCAACAATAAGTTCATACGCCATTTGTTTCCTCAGGGCCCTGGAGCCCATGTACACTAGTGGTTTAGGATCGGAATTTTCTAACTCCCCTAGGTAGATCTTCCATATCCACCAATCCCGTTAAAGGGCCAGATATTCACTTTTCGTCCTCTCGATTTTGAAAAAAAACATCTCCATCGCGAGAAGGCAGTGAGTAAAACTTCCCTAGCAGTTGCTGTATACGCGTGGTCATGTAAGAGTATTTCGAAACAGAGAACTGACTCTTGATCGTACCAGGGTGTTTTGGGGACCTGAAAAGGAAACTAGGTTATGGGTAGTTTTAATGACCTGGAAGAGTGACCGAGGAACCCAAAGAACAACTGCTTGAGGCCAGTTATACACGATCTTTCTGTGGGAAGTTTGTGACATGTTAACTCCGTGCTTCAAAAGATCTTATCACCGGAGACGGAAATCCGTGGCTTAACATGAGATATGATGTTTTTAGTGTCAGTCTTTTCTAACCCCTTCCTTCCGTTGTAAAGCAACTTCGCCATAGGTACTGACTGCCTGAGAGGAACACCTTACTGCTGTCATACCTCGGTACCGTCAGCAATATAACTTTGCTCTCAGACCATTATTTTGTTACTTTTAGTCTTACCGTTCCCAACCGATCTGCTTAACATGGTAGAACCTAAATGAACAATTTCTTTCTAAGTATAGCCCGGTCAGATCATTACGATAAGCAAGCCCGATCACTACGTCAATACAGAAACCATTCAATGGCGCAAAGAATTTGTGCTTACTGTAAGACACGAAGAGCCTAGGCTATATACCCCACGGGCACGTGAGCACTCATTTTCTAGTAGTTTCAGGCTAAACAATCCAACTGTGCAATTTTACTCTCTAATTTTCAATAGTCTGCCAACTAAAGCCACTTGTTCGTAATGTAAATCATCTTTAGAATATACTTGAAAAGTTTCCACAAAAGTATTTTAGTAAATAAACGATGATCGATTAGATAAAATGACCTATATGGCCACAAAAGATGGCTATGAGTTAATATGAAACAGACATAGAAAGCAGTTGGAACACAAAAGAAAAAAGTATTTATTCTAACCGAGATGTAGTCAGCGACTTGCTTGAATTTACGAGATACTCCTATCAGTGGATGAGTAATCCAGAATATTGGTTTTCAGACAGCTTAATCACAGTTACTTTGATTATTATAGTAGACGTTACTTTCTGAATGAAACTAAAACGCCTTTAAATTCATTATAAAAAAATAGATGAACTATTTTTTGCATTGTTTCGTTTGAAATTTACCCAGCTATATGGTTCCTAGTGTTTTACAACTCATTAGAGAAGCTAAAATAGTTGCCTACAGTACAACTGCAGCATAAAACTTTATAAATCCGTTTTCTCTTCAAAATAAACTTTTGAGTTTGTTGGTTATAGGTGGTCGGCTAAAATGAGACTAGGACTATAAATGTGTTGGGGTTGTAAACCCAAGACACGAAATTTAGTCTATGGTGTCATTAACTGTTAGTTCTTACATAAAGTACACAATAAAAACCTAATTAAGCCTAATTAAATGGTGGACGGATATGTGTTAACTTGAAAAATATATCGTATGTGGAAATTAAAACGCGTAGTTTCTTTTTCCCATCACATATATATTCAGGCTACACATAAAAAACACTTGTCAACTTACTGTCCCTAGATTTGTTGTTGCATCCGACTTGTATTGCTTCAATAAGGAGTAGATATGTAATGGTATAAATAATCTCCTCAGTAACTGGTCACACAGTACTTCATTTAAACCTTCTATACCCAGTGACAACAAGTCATCTATGTAGTGTAAATGATCAATATGCTCTGCAACTAAATCTTTCAACTTAGTTTGACACCTATTAAGTAATTACAAAAAAAAATTTCTATTGTTAATGAATCCGTACCAGACATTGAATGAATATTTGAAGGCAAACATATTTACTGTGAAATGAAAACATGATATAACGAAGACATAAACATAAGTAACATGGAAGAACATACCCGGACGAAAATTGGAGAAATGGTAACTCTCTGAACTAATTCATCGATTGTGATATTATTGTATTGTTACTGGGTAACTGGGATATATTTATATAGTGTTTATCTTAAGCTTCTGTTTAACTCACTATCTATTATTGTATTCTTTATAATTCCTATTTTATTGCCAATCGATTATTCTTAGCTTGCCCTATTCACAACCACTTTTGGCTTATTTATGAATAACTGTGACTTTTTATTTTAAAGGTGGGATGAGGCCCAATATGTCTATAAAAACCCATGTATGTTTGGAATAATGACAGAAGCTGGCTGTTGACTTCTCCTTGGACTTGAGGCAAGGGATAGAGAAGGCTTGAGTATAGCAGACCAATCCGGACTTACTCTGCGTCGACCCAAGGTTGACGGCGCTGATCAGATGTGTAAGTGGACAAGTTTAGGACACCAGGACGTAGAAAAAATAGTAGACGTGTCATAGATAAAAGTCGGAGTTAAAATTCTGAGTAATAGTTTTAACGCGTGATATCGACCAATGATCTTAAGCCACAACATGAAGAATGTGCACAAACAAATATCTCAAAATTTTTCAACAAATTCAGTCAACAGGCTGCTATGAGTACTAATATCAAACTACTGCATATTTGATGAAAAGCAATCAACGTAACTTATTGGCCTAATGAATAATGCTTCCAGTTACAAAAGTGAGGGTTACTGGTTAAATCCCAAACGTAACTTATTTTTTCATAACCTTAAAGATCATTCCAGTTAAGCGAATTAAAAATTGGACAGTAAATATATAAATCATGCCTTAATCCCCAATACGAACTAAATTATATTAACGAACTGAGCGTGATATAACACTGTAGTACAGTTTATTTAGTGTTAAGCGTCCACAAGAAATTATAGTGCCACTAAATATGAATTTTCAGTGTTTTCGTTAATAATTATAAATTTAATAGTTGAATTCATGAGTCAATTAAAGCTAGACCACCATGGCAGCTTGGAAACACTGGACGGCCGTTTCGTCCTAGTATGGGACTCAGCAGTGCACATCCACGATTCCGCTCGCAGGATTTCAACCCAGGACCTACCGGTTAAGCGTGCGAACGATTAACCTCTAGACCACTGAGCCGGCATCCAACGGTGTTAATGTTTAACTCCAACCAATCCATGGAATCACACCACCGTCCACCATTGTCTCCAGTGAGTTGTTACCACCTTACAACAGACCCCGTTGAATTCCACAAAACCCCTTTCTGATTATAAGTATAAATTTGCTGAACGTTCTATTTTAATTACTGTAATACAACTCAAAAATCAAGTATAAATTCATGTTCTAAGCGCAGTCAATTTCTATTGGTGAAAACTAATGATAGTACCAGGCCGTTAGAACTGAATTAGGCGAAACAGGTTTAAGGAATAGGCCATTAAAATCTCTGCGACAGAACTAAAGAGAACCAAAATCAACTAGAAAATTATTAAACATAGTAGATTTCAATCTTTCATACATCCTGACCCCTTGATAGGCTTAAGAAAAAGCGAGGACAATATTTCCAGAATAGAGTGAATTCATTATATTTTAAGGCTCCTCACCAGTTGCAAACGGCCTAAGTTTACGATCGAAATATTATTATAAAATTGTTATTGCATACCATAATCAATGAAATTTAATTTGAAACGCCTTAAACAAGAGGAAACAATATATTTAACATAATAATTAAGGTTGATTAGTATTTATACGGTGATATTTCGATTGTGAATTTAGACCATTTGCAGCTGGTGAGAAGCCTTGAAATATAATAAATTCATTTTGTTCTGCAAATATTGTTCACGTTTTATTGACGATCTCAATCTAATCATCTACCTGATAAAGTATAGAATTTTCAGAACTACTACTAAATTGTAAATATAACTATTGAAAAGTTTAAGTCTATATATAGTTCTGAAAAATCTGAATTGATCTCCAATATCGCAATGATCTAGAAATCATGTAACTTTAAAATATTAACAAACTGATTCATAAGAGCATAAAAGTGGGGTTGAAATTAAAATACATCTAGATAAAGACGCAACAAAAAACTAAAAAGTACATATACGATAATAATTGATTATTTAACATTTCCACTCAAATAAAACGAATTCATCTGCATACTGGGCGTCCATAACTACAAGTTCCTAATACTCTAACAACCTGAGAAAATCTGCACTTTGTTATATAAATCTCATTCCCGATAACTTATATCCTAGTCATTGGACTTCCCTCTCTTTTCCTTTCTCGTCACATGTCCTATTAACTGAATATTATACACAGCAGAACGACGTACTAGACGTCTTTACAACTGACTGGTCTATTTTAATCAACTTAGCGGATATATGAAAAGAAGGGAAAAAACATGTGGGACAGTAAGTGTTATATGTATTATATACGATGAAAAAATATCACTTACTTATGACAATCAATATCTAATATTGTATTACCTATTGACCACACAAGATGTGAGAAGTAAATTAATGAAGTCTGATGGTGAATAAACTCCAAAGCAGCTTCATCTTTAACTATTAACAACAAAGAACACATTGGTTAAAAAATGAATCAAAACAAAACGATAAACAACTAATTATGATAAACCCTACCTTTATGTACATTTAGAGTGATAGTACGTACAGCAATACGAACCATACCCTCCGGGTGAGCGAACAATTTAATCGCTTCAACATATAAATTAAACTCTCGACGAGACTAAAATATAATAATGATAATGAACAGTTTTTAAATGCGTTTTTAAAACAGCATTACCTCAATGTAGAAAAAGCTGATGGTATTTACGTTGAGACGAAAGGATAATATTTTTAGAAAGGAAATATAATAAGCCATCACCTAAGAGAGAGAAATAGAAAAGGGTTGACAAATAGCTATGTGGATCTACTTCTTCGTCGGTGAAATCAAAACGATGCGTAATGATAGCATTTGTATGATTGTTTGACAGAAGGTAATCTGAAAAAAAATTCAAATAAGGCAAATGAATACTTACAGATAGCTGTTTGATTTGTTATATTTTCAAATAAGATATTTAAAGTTTGTAGTAACTGAACACATATTCTTCGACTTAAATCTTGTTTCATATACTGCAAAAAGTACTCCAGAATATTCTTTTCAAGAAAAAAGCTAAATAATATTTTTTTAAATGAATCAGAAGGTTACTCCATGACTGAACTATCATTTTGATCACCCCAGATTAAAATTTCTGCAATTAATCGAAGAGCTTCAACTAGTATCCCATAGTTTTGTTCATTAACAGCTCGATTCTTTTGTAACACGGAGTGAAGATATCTATGGAAATAGAGGATAAATCAAACTCCGAGTCTTGGTCAACTTCGATCAAATTACTGAGAAGAAACAGTTAACTGGAATTCAAAAAACTAGCAAAAAATATGTAATCAACTAGGGCACGAATTCTATGAAAGACAAACATTTCACTTTACGTAAGAAACATGTGGTCAACAAGTGGCTTACAGAAATATGATTTATTTGCAAGTCAGTCAGTCAGTAACAACGTAGAACTTCGTACGTACGTACGTACATCAGTTCGAGTTGCCACACCACATTAGCACAGAGATGCAGTTGTCGATTCAAATCCCGTAGTGGTAGAGGTAATAAGAGTATAAGCAGTAATCGGGAAAATTAGTGTTTAGAGATGTTATTTAAAGAGTATAATACAGTGAAATAAATTTGGAAGAGAAAAAAAAGACAAGGAGGAATAAGGAGATCAAAATTTGGGAGAACACAAAGAGTGTATGCACCTGCGCCATTGCAAACGATTTTTAGCCATGTCGTTCAGGGTCTCTAACCATCGGTTCTTATCATCCCGCGGATCCCAACCAGGTAGTCTACACCTACCAACATGACTCAGTTCACTTGTCAGTGACTTCATGGATTTGTGCCATGTTTTGGTTTGGCCGCCCCTAGCTTTCTTCCAACCTACTCCTATACCACTGAACATAGCACGTCGAGGCAGTCGGTCGTTGGGCATACGTAACACGTGTCCCAGCCATCTCAACTGATGAAGTTTCACTACATCATCAATTGATTTGCCATCCTTACCTAGTACCCGTTTCCTAACAACTGCGTTACTTACTCGATTGTCCCAGGGTATACGAGCAATATTTCGAAGACACCTATGATCAAATACTAGTAACCTACGAATATCCTCTACTCTTACCGGCCATGTTTCACTGCCATAAAGTAGGACGGAACGAACTGCTGCGCAGTAAACCCGTCCTTTGGTTGATAGACGGATATCTCGCCTACGCCATAAATGACGCAAGTTGGCGAAAGCTAATCGAGCCTTCTGTATCCGTGCTGAGATTTCGTCACACACCAGACCACAAGGGCTGATGAGACTTCCAAGATAAGTGAAGCGGTCGACACACTCAACTACTTCACTCCCTATCACTAGTTCGGGTGTCGATGTAACCCAATCCTGAAGCAACATTTTGCATTTCGAGGGACAGAATCGCATCCCGAACATGCTTGCATTGTTGCTTAGAGTGGTCAGAAGACTCTGCATTTTGTCAGCGTCTTCGCCAAATAAAACTATGTCATCAGCATATTCTAAGTCAACAAGTGAACCTCCTGGTAGAAGTTCAACCCCTGGAAATCTAGATGAGGAAAGTGTTATCTCTAAAAGTACGTCAACGACAAAGTTGAACAAGAATGGAGAGAGTGGGCAGCCCTGACGAACACCACTTGAGGTAATCAATTCTGATGACAGTTCGCCATAAGCTCTCACTCTACCAGTTGTGTTCGAGTAGAGAGCCTTTATAAGGTTAATGTACTTCTTTGGTACTCCTTTCAGTGACAAACACTGCCATAGAACCTTACGATCGACAGAGTTGAATGCTGCTTTAAGGTCGAGAAATACTACGATTGTGGGGCGCCTGAACGTGTGGTCTATACAAGCACGTCCAGGTCGAAAACCAGCCTGGTTTTCTCTAGTCTCCTCTTCACGAGCTTTAGTTAGGCGTCGAAGTATTATTGAAGCTAATATTTTAGACACTATATTTGTCAAACTGATTCGTCTGTGATTGTCACAAGAGGACTTCTGTTCTTTCTTATAGACTGGCACAATCAGTGATTGAGACCAGTCAGATGGGATTACGTCCAGTTCCCAAATTCTACCTAAGACCTCAGTTAATCTCACTGCTAATACTGAACCACCATCCTTAAAAATCTCAGGAGTAAACCTGTCAGAGCCTGCTGCTCTCCTTCGCTTCAGATTTCCTATGGCTTTTTCAACTTCGTAAAGGGACGGAGGGCCTACATTAACTTGCCATTCAGGTTGACTGGAGATCGTGGGAAACCGAAATGTGGCTGAAGGCCAGTTGAACTGATCCCTAGTGTTCTGCCCAATCTCCTGGATTGAGAATGTATAATATATCCATCTTTCTCTGAGAGTGTTTCGCTAACAGTCGTTTTCCTAATACCGGTATCCTTAACAATTCTGAACAATTGTCTGCTATTACCTATTGCCGCTGCCTTTTCCATCTCTTTTGCTTCGCTACCCACCACCACAAAGTTACAACTTCTTGAGTGGAGCTCACTTACTATATATGGCTTCATCTACTAAGTATCATGTTATAATTTTTTTGTAACAGCTATTGATATCATCCGGTTTCCCAACACGAAGTAGATAGGGATGGGATCAATCAAGTGAGATGTCAGTTGGACATATAGTGCGTAAAAATGTAGGATCTTTCTTGATCAACCTTGCGTCAAAACTCTTAATAAAACCATGAAACATATGACACATAGAACAAATGAACCCAAAAACCAGGTAGCCTACATTATCATGTCCTAATGGATAGCGATGAATCAGCATGGAAAGGACCCAGTTCCTTAAACGCCACTTTACACAAGTGAACTGAACAAGTACATCGAGAACTCTGATATTTAAATACCTCAGAGATGAAAGTTCCCGTATAACATATTTAACTCCTGGTTTGTTACTGGGAAATGGGTAAACCCGGTTTCCGAGCAGTTCGGGAGACTTCAGTGAAGTACGTCCATCAACCCCGAGGTAGTTCAGAAACGTGCTTTGTACACCTACCTGGAACCTGTTCTGAAACTCGGTGAACCAAACTAACACAAATGAACATCCTTCATCTAATTTCCAAAAACGGGAAGAAATCTAGCCCAAACTGTTCCAAACTCGTATATCAGCCCCAAGCATGAATATAATAGGATGTTCAACAGGCGATCGAATGAGAAAACTCACTGATTAAGAATATCACTTTTAATGAAGTCTCATGTTAATATAGGAAACATAGTTGACACGTAGTATTTTAGAACAGAACAGTAGGATTTTTCACTGTAACTGGAAAGTTTAGATTTCCGCTTTCCTCCTAACTTCGAAGATAAATTCAATACAATTCTATGTTATTTATTTATAACAGAACAAACTTGGTGCAATAAGACACCAAGATATGAGTTGCTTAAAGCGAAATAAAGATATTGAGGGTCAAACAACCAAAAACCATGTAATACAAAGGAAACGAGTTTAGCTGCAGAACAACAGTTCAAAAATTAGCGGAACCAAGATACATCTCATCCAGTAGCAATATACCTTACTGTTCATAAGCAACACAACAAAATATTACAGTAACACAGATACAGACTCCTTTTCCTTGTCACCTACGATGATGTCTTTCACCATTGTGTTGAGAAATATCCATGACCCCATTCAGGAGATGAAGATAAACTAACTGAGTATCACTAGTTAGTTCAAACTGAATTATTCTGTTGTATGTGCAGCGGGCCATACGAAAACTTGTGACGAATATCTTAGCCTCTGACCCCAGATTACACAGAAGAATGATGAAGCTACAGTATGCTATATTGCTAAAACTGTATGACAACGATAACCGAACTAACTTTGGTCGACGAGGATACACCCTCGATAAGATCAATAATCTACCGCTGAAACTTAAATTTTAAATGTATAATATGGTTATACATAACTTATGTTTAGCCAAGTATTTAGTCAGTTTTTGACGCCTCGAGAGGCTATATTTGCTAAAGGCATTCACTCATTGGGGATAAAAAGCAGTATACCCCTCGGCTGCTTAGAAAGTCACAAACGCCATAATGAAGTATTTACGAGAGTTCCCACAGTATTTGTGGACAAATACTCCACGAACGTCACGAAATGAAGCAACTCCAACGCTGAAAGTCTTTGAAAGTCTAAATTACAACGCCAACGGTACTCAGAAAGTTATTGACTGAGTAAGAATGCAGGTCAAATGCAAGCTATACATAACAGTAAGGTAGGAAGTATGCTCCGATTTCTATTTAATCTTCCTGTTTGAGGGAGAGAGATGAGTCATACACGGATTTTTGACAAGAAAATGGGTCTGTGGTGACTAATTGGAGACTACTTTGCCGCGTATTATACTTCACACGAAATTACTTAGACGTATATAAATGAACGACAAAGTAATGAATACATCGTTGAAAGACATTGAAAAATCCGGAACGACTAGAACTAACTTCAAATTTTCAAGAGAATGGACCTTTTTTGGCTTCGAGAGACTACTTTTCCCTCGTCCGAACATCTTTTAGGTTGATACGCACATAGTCTTAGTACGCGCTGTCCAATATCCAAAAATGTTGGTGATGAATTGGACTAGTACGTTGTAAAAGAGAACTTCTTTGGCAAATTTTAGCAGGCTTATAGACTCACGTTGCTAAATACGTTCCATCAAACCGGGAATGTGGCTGGAGATCGATTAGTTTTGAGTTGAGTCTTTGATTTTTCAGATTCATATTTGTGTATTGAGGATAAAAGACCAACGGACTGTGCTATTCCCTTTTAGTAGGTCTCTCTGAGCCTTGTTCTACTGAATGGGTCAGGTGAAAGTGTGAACACTACTTCCCCGACTAGAAGGTTCCAAGAGTTTATGACTCAATGCAAAAACCTGAATACCACATATATTTTGTTCGTTCCTCTATTTTGAATCCCTTTGTGGTGTATTCTGAATCTTTCTGATCTTTTGGGGAGAAGGAGAGTAATACGCCAGGTTCAAAGCCATTTCTAAGTATTCTATGCATCAAAGCCAGACCATCTCCGTATATACGGAAAGGCGAGGTAAAGAAGTCTAACTTCTCAAGCCACCCTATGTATGGTAGGCCCAGAAATCCTGTACTTGCACAGATAGATATTTTTCGCTTTTTTCAAGATACTAAAGACATATCCTAAACATGGGCTTGCAGCCTAAACGCCGTTTTCAAGTTTGGACCTCACTAAGGCTGTATATACTATGGTAGACATATTTGTACCCAGCTTGGTAAACGTCTGTTCGTATGGTTCTAAACCTCTTGGCTGCAACCGCATGGCAGTAGACTGTTTTGGCTCACCACTGCCCCTAAATCAATATAAGACAGGTCTAAGGGCACCGAGGCTTCTCCAATGCTGAAGTCATTCACTCTTTAATCTCCGATGTTCATGTAGACACACTTGGACACGTCGATAGGCGTCGGCTAAGCGAAACGTCTAGGTCGGCCAGGAGTGCACGTGCATCCACACCACCCGATACTTACGGCCAGACTTTGACGTTATAAACATAAAGTAAGATCCGCGATATAAAGATAAGTGGAAGTTTATCTGCAAGTAGGATAAAATGTAAAGGACCTAAGAAATAGACTTGCAGTGCTCTACTAAGCACTGTTTCCGTGAAGAAAATCTAAAATGCACGCTTTCATTTTGGCCTACCACGAGATCTAGAAATTCCTAGGTTTTCCACATTTACTAGGTATCTACCATGCGAAACATTATCAAGTTCTTTTCTGAATTAGACGTACACAGCCTCAACTGGCACCCCACTCCTAAATGACTCCTATCTCCATCTTGCTAAAAATAACTTAGATGTGTAAAAAAGCCCTCCTGCAACCATGTTGTTTGCCGTTTAGCAAGCTCTTAATCGCCACGAATGACATAATGGCATTTTTCATAACTCTTTCCAGTATTTTAACTACTATATTGTTGAGGCTGACAAGTCCGTAATTTGGTACAAGTTGTTTCGACCCTGTCTTGTGATTTGAAGTGATGATTGAATCCTTCTAACCCTTAGGCAACTTAAATCAACTAGAAGACATCTTGAATATCGTAGTCAGCAAAGTAGCAATATAAAGTGCTATTTGTCTCCAGATTTGGGGTATAACTGACTCGATCCTGTTGATTTTTCCGTGTCTAAAATGTTTTTTGCCTTTGCTATGTCGCCTCTATTGAAAATCACAGCTAGTAGTGTTGGTTCTGGTCCCAGTTCTTTATCGAGAGAAGACTCATGATGAAACACTGACACCAAGCAATCGACCCTGCATTCTGCTTTGTCTTAGTCGTTTTCTGTCATTTGTGGTGATTCTTTTCTGTGTCTAAACCAGGAATCCATGGTTTCATTCTTGTTCCAAAATTGATGAGAACAGCCTCTTTGAACATGCCCCAACACCTTTTAATTAACTTGAATAAGCAGGGAATCTTCCTATCTATCCGAGGATGTGCAGTGTTTGTATTAACTGATGATTCCTTTGTACTTGATGGCCCGCTGATTACGAATTCCAAATATGATACCGTCGGTTGTACTCATCTAGTTCTACCTGCCTCACGTTGTACTATTTCTGGAGTTCTTAGTACATTATTTCAAATACTCCCAATTATCATATTGAAATCCCTACGGAGTCAAATCTTGAACAGTTGAATATTAAATTAAGTGTGGATGTTTTTGAAGACCATCTGGATTGATTCAAAATCTGGTTCATGACTAAGAAAGATATGGAACATGATTAATTCGCAGCTTACTTCCTGATATTCATCATCAAAGAAGCGTATAACCTATTGAAGAATCTAACTTCATTGTTAAGTCAATCTCTCAAGGAAATATTAATCAGTGGTAGATATGAATGTAAAGAGAGAGCAGAGTTTCATAAAATGGGTTAGGGTACAATTATGGTGACCATTTAGGAACTCTAATTCGTGATCGGTTGATTTGTGATATCAATATTCCGAATTGTTATGGAAGATACAATCTTCACTGTGGTGGGTTACTCAATTAGTGTGATATTTTATAAGGTACATCGATCATAAAGTTATTGGGGATAACACTTCCTATATATAAATGCAAATAATATTTGTAAGCTTCGTATTGTCAGTATGACAGTTGACGCGCTTTATGGAGGTTGTGTTGCGACGTGCAATTGATAGTCGGGAGTAAACCCACTTAAAGTTGAGAGCTTCTAGAAACCGCAAGCTTATATCCTCCTGGAATATCTCAAACAATAATGATTGCGCAGGTCATCGTCATACGTTCCATATGTGTTTCAGTGGCACACCATAAGTGTGCTTAAAAGTAGAGTAAAAAAGGAAAGGATAAGAAGCTGAGCAGACAATGTTCATGACTACTGGAGTGAGGTCATTTGTGATGGAATAATAAAGATATGACCACTTAGATTTATTCTATTTTATTAAGTTAATTCTTAAGCAAGGGCATTCTAAAATGCTAAAGAAAAACAAGGGTAAATATGATAATGAATGGACAAGGAACTGTATAAATGGAGGTTGTTCAAAAAAATCTGAAAGTGTAGGATTATATGTAGTTCAAAAATGCAATGCTGAAAACGGTGTTCCGATACACAAATGGCTATCTCTTTTTTCTCATCAAGCTTATTTCAGCTGATTTTCATTTTTATAGATTTTATAGGGTCATGAGTAGGCTTCGTTTTTAGCAAATTGTATCGTTTTGCTTGTAATGGGATCACTCGGTAGAAAGTGAAACCAATTCAACTTCACAAACACGATTTGAAGAGGTATTTTGCATAATTAATTAGCATCGACAGCATTGGTTCGTGACATCCCACTTGACCGCGATGAGCCGTAATTTAACGAAATGTTCTGCCCTACAGACATTAGTGTATTGAAGTTATTTCTAAAGTGTGTTGAAATTAGACATATCCAGTCGGTTTGTAAAACTACTACTCATTACGCCGCAAGTAATGTTAAACTTTGTAATTCAGATCACATTAATTTGGGCGATCCCAATGATTAGATACTATAGTTATTTACAACTTCCAGTAATTTACTTCACAATAAAAAAACGATTATATTTACCCGATTTTTTTGTTCTCTTGCAGTGTCGAATCCATCATATCAGTTGGAAAATTTCACCACAGAATCGAAGTGCAAAGAAATACGTTCGTCTCTAAAGCTCTGTCATTCTAAATGCACAGGCAAGAAATTTTAAGATTTTGAAAACAAACGTCAATTCCATTCTAGCTCTAAAATTCAAGGACCACAAGAGGAGAGCATATAATTGTTTTTCAGTGCAGAGTTAAGAAACCGTGCGCAGAAGAAAGAATGAGGAAAAAATAAAAGTACAAGCACAAAACTAAATAGTAAAAGCGTAAACACAACTATCATTTCTTAAAAGGTTTTAGAAATGTTGACATAATCTGAGCACTCTTGCGGAACACCAAATGAGTTCTTAAGAAACATACAAGTGGGGATTTGTCCAACTAACGAGCTTAACTAATAAAACTTTAGTTACAAGCAACTCGTTGATATCAACTGAAAATAATCCATGGGGAACAATGTGGAAGTGGGATTCTGAACTACGCATTGACGGTAGGCGCTGTATTTTATACAGTACATACTCAGCAGAAATTCCGTTTTTCAAAAAAATTTTAAGTTGAGATAACATAAGATTATAAATGAATTGACGAAGCTCAAGTCACAAATAATTTGTGCTATGTCGCAAATTAATACTGAATCCAGTTCTACTAAAATGAGTATGAAATAAAATCTTGCATATGTCAGGTTCCGATTTCCAATTTTTTCATACCGAGAATAAGAATTACTGATCCAGATCCACAATCTCAACGCCATCTCTCACGATAGGATGAGTAATTATAGATAATTATATGACTTCCGCGTCAGATCTAATAGATTAGGTAGTTGCATCATGACAGATCGACGAGTTTGGGATTAGGTCTATTTTTATGATGGCAAAGATAGATCCAACATATTTACTACTAACAGTTACACACCAGATACTGGTATGTTGTAAGCTTTTTCAGAGTTCAGGGCGGCCTGCTTGATCATCTGGGCTACCTGTTCCTGCCATCTAGGTATTTCAACAAGTTATCTATTTTTGTTTGTTTTAATATATCACTATGTTTATTAATCGCATAACCTATTCTGCTGTGTTTCTGAAAAGTGTACAACTTTTCGTTGTCAAAGTTACAAAACTCAATAAGAGACAATGTGGTTGCTAGCAATATACAACGGAAAGAATGCACATTATTCAGACGTTCATTTAGTGAACTGCTAACATCTAACTGGCGATCACTCAATATTTATCGCCAGGACCGACCAAAAAGAAAGAAACGGAAACTTGTTGAAATGCTTAACGCTGAGAATTCTCTATTGTACCAAAAATATAATATTGAATAAAGCTGATAATAATAATAATTTTTACTGTGGAATAGGCTGTCATCGCCTGACAGTGACTATAACTGTACCACCGAGCCAAAATAACTTATAACCTCGTCCTACAAATTTAAGGGC